GGATGGAGGCAGGGGGTGTGAGGGGCACGGGGCCGTACATGGCAGCGGGGGTGTGAGCGGATCAGACGCTTCCCGATCGCCCAGAGCTCGCCCATCCAAGCTCTGGGCGGCTGCTGGCGCGGGGTGAGGGGGGCCGGGCAGGGGTGGCGGCCCCGTGCTCGCCTGCGCCCTGTCGAGCAGGCTGAGGATGCCCAGCTTGAAGGCCCTGAGGGCCTCGTCTTTGAAGTAGGTCGCGTCGGTGAAGGCCTCGCGCAGGCTGCTGTCGTCTGCGGGGGGAAAGGGAGAGGTGTGTGTGTATATGTGTGTGTGTGCGCTTGTGTGCGTGCATGCGTGTGTGCGTGTGTGTGTGTGAGCTTGTGTGCGTGCGTGTGTGTGTATGTGTGTGCGTGCGTGTGTGTGTATGTGCGTGCGTGCGTGCGTGCGTGTGTGTGTGTGTGTGTGTGTGTGTGTGTGTGTGTGTGTGTGTGTGTGTGCGCACGCGTGTGTGTGCGCGCGTGTGTGTGCGTGCGCATGCGTGCGGCCCTGGGGGGTATGACAAGACGCGTGGCTGTAGAGGGGATGACTCGGGGCGCAGACGTGGATGTCCCATTGCAGATCTCACGCCGTTCCCGGCCGGCTGATCGGTGGTGAACCGTCCATGCTCATTCTCCTTTTTTCTCTGTTACCCGACTGAAAACTGCGTGTGCGTTTCCTGCCCATCCTGCGTACCCGGCTGTATGTTGTCGTAGACCTCTTTGAAGGTGGTGAGCAGGAATTGGCCCTTGCCCAAACGCGTGGCCTGGGGGGGAAGGCCAGGCGCGCGGGCGCAGGCGAAGGGCGGGAGAAGGGAAGTGCTGAATGAAGGCTGATGAGGTGACGAACAGGGAGGAGGAGGGGGGCTGCTGGAGGGGGAGCGGCAGGTTGCTTTGCGGCACCGTCAATCTGGGAGAAGCAGCGTAAGCTGCCCGTTACAGGGCCTGGAAGCGGCTCGGCCAGGTTGCCTTGGTGCATCTGAATGAACATTTGTGAGCACGGCTAGTGTCCCCAAAGCAGAATTTCCGGTGCACTGCACTCCACTTGCACAAGAGGCGCATTGTGTCGCGACTTGGTTGAACGATCCAGAATTTATTGACGTACACAATTCATGTGTGATGAATAGCACGCGCTACGCCGGGCCTTCCTTTACCACACACACCCACGCGCGCGCGCGCGCACACACACACACACACACACACACGCAAGCACACAAACACACACAAACACACACAAACACACACGCACAAAAAATACACACGCACAAGCACAAAACACACAAAAAACCACACACATGCACACACACGCGAACACACTCACGCACGCCCGCACCTGCTTGAGCTGCTTCGTCAGTGGCTGGTCGTCCAGCGACCCCGACGCCACCCGCATGAGCTCCTCCTCCTCCTCCCGCTTCTCGTTCTCACGGAAAGAGTGGGGCCTGCGGCGGCGGGCGTGTGTGTGTGTGTGTGTGTGTGTGTGTGTGTGTGTGTGTGTGTGTGTAGCGGGAGAGTGATGGGGTGCGGGGGGACCAGGTGCAGTAGGCGCCAAGGGGGTTGTCGGGCGTCAGACAGCATTGCGCCCTGCAGAGGCGATGCTTGGGCCTTGAAAGGTGGTGGGGCCTCCGGCAAAGTCAGAGCCGCTCCCTGCTTGTTGTTAGCATCCACCATTACAGAAAAACTTTCACGATTTGCCCCAAGGTGTCTAGGCAATGCGTGCTTGAGTCACCCCCCGTTCTCGCCCCCACAATGCTGCCGGGCAGTTGCTGCTCGCAAGCACGCCACGCTCAAGCCTCAGGAGGGCCTCGGCGCAGGTTGTGGAGGAAGGCTCCTTGTGGTATGTCTGGCTTCACTTCTAATACCGCCACCGCTCACTCGCTCTCCCCGTTGGCGCCTTGTCGCCAGGCTTGACGCCTGCACCCCTGCGCCACCATCGACCCCCACAACATACACACACACGCACGCACGCAAGCACGCACACACAAACACACACACACACACACACACACACACACAACACTCACTTTGACAGCACATCGAAGACAAGCACCGTGTGGGCGGAGGCCAGGGCGCGCCCGCTCTCGCTGATGATGGTGGGCGGCTCGATGCCGCGTTCGATGCACACCTCCTGCGTTATGTTTTGGGGCCGCGGTTGGGACCGGCGCAGGGGTTGGGACGTGCAACAGGAAGAGGAGAGAGTGGCGATGGGGTGAGAGGTGGTCGTGGGGCACGGCTGCATCTGCGGCGCTGCCTGCCTTAGATTCGTTGGACAGGTGTGCGCCCTTGATGGTTTCTGCCACAAATCATGGCTCATGAGCGCCGCGGGGCTAAGTTGTGGTGCGGTTGGTGAGCCCAAGGCAGCGCCGCATCCTGAGCGCACTGCTTGCTCGGAATGTGCATGCCGCGGCGGCCGCATCGCGCCTGCCCTCGGCTGGACACCTTGCTGGCCCAGCGATATGGAGCCTGAGGCCCCCAACACCCCTGCATTGTGGACGCCAACCCCCAAACACAACCTCCGCAGAGAAAACAGTCCAAGGCCCTACGGCCCCCGGCCCGCCGGCATGGCTGACACCAATGCCGCCTAAGAGAGCTCAGGCCCCGCCCAAATCTCACTCTTGGCAACCACAACCCCGGACCACAGGGCCCGCGACCCGCCTACATGGCTGACACCCCAAGAGCGTCAGCCGGCGCTGCCAAAACAAACTGCACTGGAGGAAACGCCCTTCCTCATGTCCCGCGACGCGCCTGCATGGCCGAGACGACGTCGTTTGCGTAGTTCTGTATGGTGTAGCTCATGGAGGCCGGGGTGTCGGTGAAGGAGCCGTCGTAGTCGACCGCCAGGCCGCCCCCCACGTCGATGAACTTCATGCCCGCGCCCATCTGGGGGTGGGGGTGGGGGGCGGGCGC